AGCCTGCTTCTCCCTCTCCCTCTGCTGCTCCCCCTGCCTGTGCACTCACTCACTCTCTCTCTCTCAATGTCAAACAAATAAAATAAAACCTTTTTAAAAAATCAATTAATTTAAAAAAACAACACCACCAGTGGCAACCCTCTCAAATCCCCTCTCTCTTTGGGAGCTTTCTACTATCACTCAATGAACCTTGCTGCCCACCACTCTGTCTGGTCTACCTCTTCAGTCTTCGAAGTGACGTGACCAAGAACCACGGGCACCAAAGGAAAAGAAATCCTGTAACAATTTGCTATTTCCTGGGAAACCCCAGAACACATTTTGACTGCCTTAGGCCTTTCCACCAGCACGCAGCTATCAGCTAGGCTCCCTAAGGCTGCCTTCAAATGGTTTGCTATTTGTGGTTGGATCTGAGATTTCTGTTGCTCGACATTGACATACGTATACTTCCCATTTTCTTCCTTGAAGAGACAAAAGGGCAATTCAGAGTCCCTCCCTGGATTATGTACTTACTGGGGAATGGGGCACAGTCCACAAGCGGTGTGGTTAGAAAGGCTTACCCGGATGCAAATAGGTGTACCTTTGTCAGGTACAATTTTTCAACTGTGAATAATTGGGCAGTTGAGTGTGGAAACAATTATTAGTTAAAAATTGTAAGAATTGTGTAAATTCAGCAACAAGCCACAATTTATGGCTCATTGCCCTGTTCAATCATTGGTAGAAAAATAAACCTAACACCAACTTATAAGGTCTTTCCTCTTTATCCAAGTGCAAACTTTACTGGCCCTGAAAGACATTGTTAGGAATAGTCAATATGAGAACTTACTGTATTTACTTAAGGCTTTTACTCTTTATGCACTCAAGGTCTTCTTGAACAATTACCTGACTGAAAGGTAGTACAAGGATTTTGGATGTTCAGAAAAAATGTACATAGTGAAATTTTAGTTAAAGTCAGAAATATTTATATGATTCTTTAAATATTTGGAGGATTTACCTCTGCATTTTTCTTGTTAAACTACTTCCTCCTAAAATAGAAGATTATTTGTAGTCACATGTGAAAGTTACAGAGTGCAAAATTTACACAAAAGAAAATTATTTTGACATGGAAATAAATATGTTAATTTCACAAAGTGCAGTGCCGGGCACATATGAGGTGTTTAAAAAGTATTTATTTATTAAATAAATGAATAGGTGAATGAATGAATGAACACCACTCTTAATTTTACATTTCATGAGACACTTATGAAACAATTCCATTTCTACACTCATGAAGATTATGCAAAAGACTTTGTACTCTAGGCACTCCGGACTGGCTCAGTTGGTGGATCATGTGACTCTTGATCTCAGGGTTGTGAGTTTGAGCCCCAGGTTGGGTGTAGAGAGAACTTAAGAATAAAAATCTTAAAAAAAAAAAAAAAAGATAATTACTAAGATAAATAATACAGCACAAGTGTAGGGTAAACATTGTAAGTATCATACTGGCCTCCCCCAATCCTCCTCACGTTCACCAGCACTGTCCTTCTACCCCCAACCCAAATCTACTTGGGTCCTTAGTCAAGTGACTTCTGAACCGGGCTTACTGTGGGACCTGCCCCACATTAGTACTAATGTGTGGCTACACTCAAGGCAACCAGACCCTAACTCGGGACCAGACCTTAACTCAGGGAGGCACCCCAACCCTCTGCAGATGGAGGAAGGGATCCTGACTACCTGCCCCCCTCCCCACCTTGTCCTGACCCTACTTCTCACACAGCCCCAGGGCACACTTCATGAAAGAAAATGGAGAGAAGATGCATTTTTTTCCTAGAAGTCAGGTAATTATGCCTTGACCGGTCAATTCCCCTCAAGCAGTCCATCAAAATAGAAGAGTGGTCAGACTGGGTTCCATCCCACTCATTCCTGTGATTCTACCTCTAAAAAAGGGTTTGAGGCTCTTATAATATTAAGAAATACTTGTTGGGTAAAAGTGAACAAAATCAGTGACCTACAAATAATTTTGGAGAAGTGTGGAAAAGGGAAGGTAAAGTGGATGTTGCTTAGATGGCACGGGAAGAAAAATTCCTGAAGAAGATAGCCAAATTTTTGATTCCGGGTCAAGCTTACTGTGGCCAAATATACCACAGCCCAGAAGTCTCGCATGATGCAGAAGGGTGAAATCTCATCAGTGATGCTGGTTATAATGGGAATGTTTTCAACTGCTCTGAAAGAACCTGTGGTCTGTCCTTAGCAACGTTTAGTGCAATTCCACGAACGTTTTGTCTTGGGAGAAAGAGAAAGACAGATGAAGAAACACTGCCCCGACTATCTAACCTCACTGCATCACTGGGCTCTGCATAAAAAGGAAAATTCTTTCTTCAGTGAGCTCACTGTGCAAAGACTTTGTTTCCTGGATCACCCAAGACAGCAAGGAAATAGCAGCGACTCTTAAAGTCAGAGAAGAGAGATTAGATGTGAGTGAAAGTGGTAGATGCTGTCTGACCCCCTGTTCACAGAGCCCACCACTCCTAACTTCCATCCCTGAACAGCTGTTTTGCCTCTCAGCTCCCCTGAAGCTCTGCTGGCCCATTTCCCCGTCCAGTTTGAAAAAGAGTGATGGGGATTGTTGTCAGACGATTTTGATATGACGGCCCCAGGATTTGCTGTGTTCCTTTGAAAGAGGAAATGCTTCAGTTTTTCTTTGATATACTTTGGCATGATACCTTTTGTCATTATCAGCTTGTAGAGCTGTTGGTTGGTTTTTTTTTTTTTTTTTTTCCCTGAAGGGTTTTCCAAACAATACAGGATTGAGAATTGTCCTATATTGACACTTGCAGGACTCCATTAGGGTCAGACTTTGTTCTGACCTACAAAAGGGGCAGCTGGGTGGCTCAGTCACTTAAGCATCTGCCTTCAACTCAGGTCATGATCCCAGGGTCCTGGGATTGAGTTCTGCATCGGGCTCCCTGCTCCGCGGGGAGTCTGCTTCTCCCTCTCCCTCTCCCCCTCCCCCCTGCTCATGTTCTCTCTCTCTCTCTCAAATAAATAAAAATCTTTAAAAGAATTAAACCTACAAAAGCTATAACTTCATGCAGTAACATTTATTGAATGCCAGTTAGGTGCCAGGCTCATGAGGCTTATGTGAAGAAACAAACATTTGTGTCCTTGGAGGACACGCTAGTTATCACAGTCAATCCACCCTGTTGAGTTACAGCTTTAGAGCAATTCCAGACCTAAAGAGTTCCAAGGCTGATATCAGAACCTGAGATGTGTTAGGTCTTCAGTAACCCTGCCCACTGGCCTCTAAAATATTTCCTCAATTGCCTTGTCACTTACTCTGTCCTTTGCCACCTCTGCATCAATCAGGTGGTATTGTCAGGGTAGGAGGTTCTTTTAGGCCACCTGTCTTTGCAGCTCTCTCCTCTACACTTATGATTAATTAGGCAAGGTTTGTCAGGTTGTCAAGGAAGTTTCTCAAGTGAAAGGGAAGCAAGTTTCCCCTGGGGGAGGGGGTGGACATGAGTCTCTCCACATAGTAGTTCCCACTCTCTCTCTCTCTCTCAGTTACAGAGATGTGGAATTACAAACCGGAGGGAAGCTGTTTAGCCCACACACACGTGCTCCAAGCAAGCACTATAATGAGGCCAGGTAAAACTAAGAGCAGTTGTATTAGTAAGGGTTCTTTGACTTGTAGTTACAGTGACTCACCGGAGGCAGCTTTAGACCAGAAAAAAGGCAGGGTGGGGGGCACAATTTATTATAATATGAGAACTGAGCCTCATAGAGACCCACTTTTTAAAAAATTTTATTTATTTATTTTTTATTTTTAAGTAGGCTCTACCCCACGCCCAGCATGGAGCCCAATGTGGGCCTTGAACTCACAACCCTGAGATCAAGACCTGAGCTGAAATCAAGAGTCGGTTGTCCAACCGATGGAGCCAGCCAGGTGCCCCGAGACGCACTTTGTTTTAAAAAGAGTTTTATTAAAGATAGGTTAAAAAAAAAAAAACTAACATAATTAAGTTAAACAATTATTTGGCAGAAAGTTCCTGAAATGATAATGAAGGACTTAACCCTTCTCTGAGGCCAAAGGCCCCTCTCCACCGAGGGACAGTCTCCAGCAACATCCTCCACCACAAGCATTTCCCAGGCTCTCATCTGTCACTCAGTAGCAGCTAAGGCCTTGGCATCTCTACCCAAGGCCAGCCCACGAGAGAGTGCTCACTTGGACATAATTTACTATTACATGAGAAGTGGGTCTCATAGAGCCCAAGAGGAGGATTGCAGCTAGCCCTCTGGGCAAGCAACGCTGTTAGACTGCTGCATCTGCTTCAATTTCTTCCTCACATCCCCACTCCCACCCGCCTAGATCAGCTGTCTGTATTTCTCCGGGTCTCTGGGCAGAACATAGTACTCCCTGGTTCCAGAGTTCCCCGACAGCGGAGTCTGATGGGCAGATTTTGAATCTCAATTTTAAATCTTTGACAGCAAGAATCCAACTGGGCCATCTTGGGCTTTGTCCACCCTGGTGAGATTAGCTATAGCCTAGAACAGAGTCCCGAGTGGTGGTGGTCAGTGGATTGGGGGTGGGGGGTGGGCAGGGAGTCAGGGATGGGGTGGTGGACAGTTCTTGGGGGAATGAACATCTTTATGAGCTGAACAGTGCTGGAGAGGTGTCCAACGCCTATGTTCGTTTTGTTTTTCAAAAAATAAAGATGACAAAGGAAGGAACTTCCTCAATCTTCTTTCCATCTCCATAAATAAATCTTGCTTTCTATCTAAAGCAAATACTTGAAAACAACTTATTATGAAAAACTTTAAACATAAAAAAAGAAAAAATAGGGTGAACCCCAAATTCCTTTGAGGATTCAACAATTGTTAAGATTGCCCACATATGCTTCTTTTAACCCCCTTTCTTTTATTTCTGATATGTTTTAAAGTAAGTCCTCTATGTTATGTCATTTCACTCCTATATAAATCAGCGTTTATCTTTTTTTTTTTTTTAAGACTTTATTTATTATTTGACACAGAGACAGTGAGAGCAGGAACACAAGCAGGGGGAGCGGGAGAGGGAAAAGCAAGCTTCCTGCCGAGCAGGGAGCCCGATGCAGGGAGCCTGATGCAGGGCTCAGATCCCAGGACCCTGGGATCATGACCTGAGCTGAAGGTAGATGCTTAATGACTGAGCCACCCAGGTGCCCCAATTCAGCGTTCATCTTAAAAATACATGGTATGGGGCGCCTGGGTGGCTCAGTCGTTAAGCGTCTGCCTTCGGCTCAGGTCATGATCCCAGGG